AGGGAAACTTCCACTACTTCTAGAAGACGGGAGAGCAATGATCTGTTCGGTGGAAGACACGGCAGCAGCAGGTGCAGCTGGGAGGTCCCTTAACTGCAGAAGCAGTCTACGATGTTCCAAAGGGATGACAAGAGTCCTTATGTACCGGGTCATTTGTTGCTCAGACGAACCTACTTAAGAAAAATAGTATCATTGTTTCAGACAAGCATACTTTGTAATTCAATGGACTATTTTTTTTTTGTAAATGTCAACTCACCAGGCACATCACCGCAGCAACAGTCATTACGTTCAGCCAGAGAGTCCTTTCGCAACTTGAACCTTGTAAGAAGGCAAATCAGTGAATAAAGAGAACAATAAGATGATTTTTTTTAATTTAAAAAAGGAACAAATAGCATAACGAACAGTAAGAGTAAGACAGTGAATAGATATACGATAAGTTCATACCATTGTATTGACAAGTAATTCAGATAACGTGTAAGAGCTCCTATAATCGGGATGAACAATGATCCTGCTCCATTAAGTTGTCTCCCACTGCTCTGCCATATGCTGTCGACTTAGGCAATAAGTAATCAGTAAACAAGAGAGCTAGAGCTCTTAATTAATCTAACTAATCAGTTGAAAGAGAAACCATGCTATAGATGAAGCATATTAATCTCTCACACACCACACATTCAATGCAAAATCTCGACAGACTTTTTGTAGAAACAAGTTAAATGTCAAACAAGTCTTATCTGTCCAGGCTTATGAGCTGTTTCTTACAAGAAACATAATATTTTGCTCCATCCCGACTCCATAGTTTCAACAGTAGAATGAAGCAAAGCCATGAGTGACTCCCTGAACCTCAAGAATCATTCTAATTTATGAAACATGTATCTTCTAACTTAAACCCTAGCCTAGGTGATTATGTAGTTATGCCATATACATACATGTCAATGAACTATTGAGTAAGACAGTGGGGCTGATAATCAGCCAACTCAAGCAAAAATCATTACTGCAACAAACATGAACTTACCAAAGTCCGAACTTTCTATTTGCACAGCCAATGCCGGTGGAAAATATCGATGCGAGAGTTCCATCAAGCTGCAGTTTGGAGAGCAGTTTTAGCCTCCCAGGGTCTGAAGGAATGCTGCCCTCGAATTTGTTATCATAAAGTAACCTAAAGTAGAAGAAAATTAAGTTCAAGGTATCACAAAGAATAAAACATTATGAACAACCTAAATAGATTTACAAAGTGAACTTACAAGCATTTTAAAGACAGTATATTTCCTATCTCTGCCGGAATTGTTCCGCCTAAGTTATTTTCCCTAAAATACAATAACTCCAGCTTTGTAAGCTCTCCAAACTCCTTTGGAATAACACCAAAGAAACGGTTTTTATAGAGCACGCTGTTAATATAAACATCGAGAAAGATGAATCAAGTTAAGCAAGAATTAAAGGCATAATCAAATATAATATTGCATGTTACAAACTATATATACTGCCATTCAATTTATAGGATTCCACACATTCAAGCAGTAAGTTAATCTAATGCAATGCATAAAACAAGGGGCTTATACAAGAAAGCTGCTAAAGGCTACCACTAAATAGGAATTAAACAGTGAAAGATATGTCACAATTTTGTTTCCAGATAATGTATTTCAGTTAAAGTTGTGATTTTATCATCATATAATCCGACAATCCCAACTAGGAAAATGAATGAAAAGCCACTAATTCAGCAGCGAATTGTGAATCTTACAGTGATCTTATGTTGCTCAATTTCCCCAGCTCAGGTGCCAAAGTTCCTTTCAAAGCAAGGGCACTCAAATCCCTAAAAGAAAACAACAACAAAAACTGGCATCGAAACATTCATCCTTCCTAGTTTACACAATAAAGCACTTCTAAACAGAAAACTATCCCGGTAAAGATCTAAACTCACTTAGTACGACCATTTTTTTTTTGTGTGTGTGTAAACTCAGGGTATCCCTAAGCCACAGAGACTTAAGACTAATCCCTTTCAGCACAGGAGTGGTTAAGGTAAAGCCCTCCCAATAAGTGCATTTCCCAGAGTTCATTTTAAACAGCGTAGAGGAATACAGAAGTACTTACAGCATTTGCACTTTACCATCAACACAATGGACCCCAAACCACAAGCAGGGTGTGGTATCATTAGAATTCCAATTTGCAAATGAACCATAAGGATCAGAACCAATCTGAGCTCGAAATTCTAACAAAGCCGATCCTGCATCTCAAAATCCGTTTTGAAATCAGACAATCAAGTAATGAAGCGAAGCGAATCAAAGTGCAACATAAACACCACAATAAGGAATTACCATCAGTGGAGATAGCCAGAGACTCGTGAATGATAAAACTTGGAACCAACAACAATAAACTTAAAAAATAGAATCCAATTAAATTCCATTTACCCCCCATTGCTATATGACTGCAATGGTAAACAGCCAATGCTATAAAGAAACGCCAGGTTTTCTTCATGCAAAAGCTCCCCCCTCTTCCAACCTCAGCCCACAAAACGAAACACCACCACCAACAGCAACAACAAAATAGAAAAAATAAAATGAAATCTCTTGTTCTGTTTGTTTTTGGTTTTTTTTAACTACAAAACTATATTACAAAGAACAGCAAATACATGTACATTGGTGATCATATCAGAGTCTCTCATTCCTTCAGCTCTTTTATCTGATATTACAACACCCTTCTTGACATGTGCATGTAAGTCATCAAAAGCTGAAACTTAACTTGGAAAATCACCAAAAAGGGTGCACAAATTTTGAAACTTTGTTTTCCCTCTGATGTTGTTGCAATGATAATAATGGAATTTCTTCAGAAAGTAGGAATTTTAACGGGTAAGGGTGGTGGAGAAAAGAGATCCTTTTGATAAAAGTATAAAAAAGGCAACAATGAAAAGAATAAAAAATGAAAAAATGGAATTTTGAAACGACAAATTACACAAAAACTAAATGAATCAAAATGAAATAAACCCAGACTTTTTTTTTCAAATACTACCCTTTTTGACATTAACCATAATGATCTCTCTTCCTCTCAGCAATGGGGTTGGCTACAATCTTGGTTTTTTTTGTTTTTTGGTTTAATTTCTTTCAATTTTTCCAGAGAATTTTCTACCCCTTTTCCTTTTTCTCTCCTATTTTTCCCTGGAAAATTGGAGCCCCCACCAGCCACCCCCACAAATTGTGATTTTGTTTGTGTAATTACTTTCTGTTATTCTATTTTTTCTATCGTTTTTCTTTTATGGATCATACTATGATTTGCCATTTTTTTAGGTGTTTAATCTTGGGGATTTAGGGTGGGGTCCACATAAAAGTCATGATTAATTTTAGTTCAATTCATTAATTAGTAATTAGTGTTGATAAGTACTGGTGGGAAGGATCAAGGGAAAAGAGAGGAGAGGGAACCTACGTAATTAAAGAGCGGTGTTTGGGGTTCCCCACCTCCGTTTTACCTGGATTTCTCTTGTCTATTTTCTTTATGAGTTAATTGTACCGTGCATCCTTAAACTATGACTCTCATTCTAAATTAATATCTAAATTTTTAAATATTTTAATTTTATCTCCGAATTATGACTCATTCTAAATTTATTCCCAAACTTTTGAACATCCCAAACTATAATCCTCGTTCTATATTGATCCCTAAACTTGTGAATATTCAATAATATTCCCTTAAATCATTCAAAAGTTCAAGAATTAAATTAGAACTAAGGGTGTAAACGAGCCGAGTCGAGTTCAAATATTACCGAGCTTGACTCAAACTCAAAAACTTTAAATATAAGCTCGACTCAACTCGAAAACTCGCGAGTCTAAAATTATCAAGCTTGACTCAAACTCGAAAGATATTATTGAAACTCCACTCAAACTCAAAAAAAATTCAAGAGCTCAACCAAGCTCAAGACTCGAGCTCGATTCAAACTTGATTCAAGCTCGATTCAAGCTCAAGTGCTCACCACGTGGCTCAATAAATTAAACTATTGAGTTTGAGCTTTAATTTATAAGATCACTTGTGGAGCACTTGCTTCTATATTAAAGATGTGAGATATAAAAGGCCACATAGCACACATTTACAAAGCTTTTAAAACAGGAGACTTGAAGCCATTAGAAGCCACCATGCAGCTCTTCTGCTCCCCTGCCTTGCGAAAAAGCAGTAAGTTCTCTCTCTGAATACCATCTTTAATGGCTGAAAAGCAAATTTGAAGCGTTTTTATACAAGTTTCCTTGTCCAGAACCATGAATTATACGTTTCTCCACAGTGTTCATATGTCCTAGTAAAGAAAATTGACATTTACACCTTCACCTAAGTTCTATATACGTTACATATACGTGTATATATACATTTACTTTTGTAAATCATATAAACCTAACCATGCCTCCATGCCTGCAGACGAAAACCCTCTATTGATCTTAACACACAGTGACTTGTTATCGACTGAGGAGAGGATCGATGGGCGGCTGAAGATATGCGAATGCCTCCGGATATCGGAGACGAACGGAGTTTACGACATACTATGCCTCAATGAGTATGGATTCCCGGTGGAAGAATCGGACCCGGTCTCGGCCTATGCCTTGACCGAAGCCGTCTACAGGGCGTTGCTCATCTCAGATAGAGGCCACTACCCAAAGAAGAAATTCTGGGACGTGGCGCTATCGGCGCTGCTATGGTTGTTGCGGTTCATCGGCTTTTGCTTCTCCTTCCTGGCTGATGTTTTCTCCAACCTTGGCAAACATAAACTGAAGATGTGATCTTAGCGATCACAAGCTTAGCTTAACACGGGGTTTATTTGTTGTAATAAATAATAATAGCAGTACTATGGTCACTGGAATAGTGTGTTTTAGCTTTATGAGAGTGATAGGCTAACTTACTTGACAATGATGAACCTTTAGTTTTAAATGTCTCTTTCTATTGTATTTTCATTCCATCTAGTAAAACTTAACATCAATTTCTTTTTACTATATATGTCTCGACTGGAATGCTGATCAATTTGTCCTTTCTCAGGAATGAAAACACTTTCTGAACCAGTCAAAGGTAATCCGCTTGAATCTGGGTGGTGTTCATCACCAGAATCTTCCGTTGATGTGGATCATAGAGGTGTTAAGCGTTCAAATAGTGAAACTTCTGCTTCTACTAATCTGAGCAACATGCAAGGAACTGATGTCAAATTAAGATTTGCTTCTGAGCCCACCAATAACCACGAGGATTGTAGCCCCAGTGGGTCACATCATTCTGAAAATTCAAGTCTCTTGAGAAACAGAAGCCATGGAGCTGGCGAAAGAAGTAGACGTAAGCGATGGAGGGGAAGATATGATGAACTGGATTTTATTTCTGATAATCATTTTAATCGATGTGGAAAACAAGAGGTTAGTACTGCATTACAAATTGCCTGTACAAGGATATCAAAGTTATAACAGTTACATTTTGGATTTTTTTTGTGTTTTACTATAATTGATTGATAATAGAATAGTTTTATAACAGTTGCATTACAAATTACTATAATAGAATAGTTTTTATTATGAAGGGAGTGGAAAATACCAACGTGGAAGAAAAATATGAAATTGTTCTTCGGATGAAGGAGCTAGCTAGCAGAGGAATGGCTGCTGAGGTTGTGGAGGAAATTAATGCATTAGATCTAAACTTCTTTAAGCAAAATCCTGTTTTGTTGTTCCAATTCAAACAGATTAGTGTAGTTTGTACCAGCTGTAGCTTCAGCCTTGAATATTAAAAATTCCAGGTAAACTTGTCTAAATTGCGGATAAGATGCAAAGAATTGCGGATAATATTAAAGACCCTATAGTTTATGCACATTTTTGTATTTAAGTCATTGGTTTAATTCCAATTTTGTAAGTTTAATTTTACATTTACGTGAATTTAATCATCATTCTAAAGTTAGTATATTTAGCTTAAATTAGTCCTCACATTTAGATTTCTCTTAATTTAGTCTATGTTTAGGATTGTTTTCTTTAATTAGTTGTGTATATTTATTTTGCATGTTGATATGTTTATGCATAAGTATGCGATTGATTTATTTAGGAGTCACATAACATCATTTTGCATAATTTGTATGTTACCTTCATGTGCATAACTTAACCCCCATCACATAATCAGATTTAGGTTTTAGGGTTTAGGGTTTAGGATTTATTGCAAAGATATTAATTAATCGACTTGGTATCGATTTATGAGGTAAGTATTAAGTATAATTTAGGGTTTAGGGTTTAAGGTTCATTGCAAGGACATTAATTAAAATTTGAGGTAGTTGTATTCTAGAATTTTTAATATATTTTAAAATTTTATAATTATCAATAGTGTATTTTTAATATATTTTTAATAATGTAATTTTAAAAAATTTAAAATTATAATATAACATTTTTCGAGCTGCTCACGAGTTTTTCGAGTCGAATATCGAGTAGCTCGTTTAGGCTCCTTAAGAACTCGAGTCGAGTCCATTCGATTCGAGTATTTATCGAGCCTTGATCGAGTCGATCTCGAGTAGCTCGCTATCTGTTTCGTCTCATTTACAACCCTAATTAGAACATTAAAAAATTTAGGGATCAACATAGAATGAAGGTCGTAGTTTCGAGATGAATTTCGAATGGTAAAAAGTTTAAATATCAATTTAGAATACGGATCATAGTTTATGGATGAAATTAGAATGTTCAAAAGTTTAAATACCAATTAACTCTTTCTTTATTTTTATCACTTTTTTAACCTTTTACATACTTGAAAAAGTAGTTGTATTAAATTTTCAATTAATGTTGTTTTGAGGTAGATTTTATCTATTTTTATTACTTTGTAAAAAAATAACATACGTCGTAAAGTAATTTTTAAGTTATTAAAAGTTCAAATAAAATCAATTAAAATCGTTAATGTGTTGTTGAATTTTAACATTATTTTCAGGGGTGGAATTAAGACAATAAAATAAAAAAAAAGTAAATATGAATCATAATAATAGATAGATTGAAGATATCGTTAAGTTGAAATTTAAAAACTGAATATTAAGATTTAATTTACATAAATTTAAAGTTGGTGGGATAGGAAGATATTTAAATCAAAATAATAATACTCCAAATTATATAATTCTATGTGTCTTAATTTTTTAATATAATTTTTCAAAAATTTATATCAGAACATGAAATTTTATATTTATCCTTAATTTTTATTATTTTACCTAATAAAAAAATAAAATATATACTTTATAAATAAACATAAATAAAAAGTACGAACTAAGTGATCTCTGTGATAAATGACTTGTTGTTATTTCTTGAGGATCTGAGTTCGAGCGCCATAGATTCGAGCACGAATCAAGTGTTCAATCTCAAAAGGTTGAGCTTTTATTTTTGAACAAATATTACTTTGTATTTAGTCTAGATTTAAGAAGGTAAAGTTATTCTTATAGTATTATATGCGCCTATTCGGTATTAAAATTTAGAAGATGTTTTTTTAAGAATCGAAAAAATTGAAATCAAGTTGTATGTTCCATTAAAATTCTAAAAGTCAGGCCAGCCCAATCGAAATAAAAATAATATAATTTAATTAAGTTTCAATTTGCTTGATTAATTAGGTCATGAAACAATCACAGATTCATAGTGAACTCCGATTTATAACAAAGTAAAATGAAATACAAACCATACAAATTTATTTAATTTCGAATGATTTAACACAACAAACAAAATGCAAACTACTATAGATTGCATTTATTTTAGAAAGGGGTCACATTTTTCTTAAAAAGAATACAATTATATGATCGATAACGAATACAAAATCAATCATTACAAGCATAATAAACAAATACAAATGATTAACGGATATTATAAACTCATTTTATTTAGAAATGATATAAATACAATCATATCGATCGACAATTTCGTATGTCATTTATTTACAAGCATAATGGGTTGCTTGATTGCCTGTAGATGAACTGGTGAATGCCAAATACCGTGCAAAATAAGTCTTCATCCCATCTTATAGTTTATTTTTTACAATATACTTCAACCGTAGTGGTATAATGCACTTACATGTATGTAATACATGGCTACAAGCTTGCAGAAATATACGAGTGAGATGATTCTTGTTGCTTAAGGCTATCCGCAACATGAGCAATCACTCCGATGCCGGCATTATGAAACCATTCGTTTTTCACCTGAAAGGGTACGGGGGTGATCATATGAGAAATTGAAAGGGAAAACAAACTTGCAAATCAGAAGTTTTAAGATCGAAATGATACATGGATATTATTGTACGCAAAGAAGGGCCAAAGCGCCGAATGAAAACTCACATCGACTTTTTTCCATCCCAATTTATGTAAACCTTGCATCATTTCCTTTGTTAATAGAATAGGTGCGTTAATGTCTGGGGAGAATGATAATCATCTATGATAGCCAAAATGGATTACCTTCCTTGAGCTCATGGTATTCCGCCGTATTTGTTGCATTAGGTGCATTCTGTGCCTCAGCCTTTGCTTTGACAGCTTCCTCAGGAAAATGAGGGCCGTCGGAAGAAACTGGTGGACAGTACTCCACATCGACAACGTGTTTGTAACCATATACCAGATCCGTATAAATGTCAGGTGTACGCATGAAACCGGGACGACTCTTGTTCAGTACTTCTATTTCATTACATTATAGTTTACCTTGACAAGTTCTTTCTCCCTCCTAATAGAGGATGTACGTCAACCAACCATATCTATTCGATGTCAAAGAAAGAGCCCGTCGGATAGCAGATAGGAAGGAGTAGAAAGCAACATAGGTAGCTAAATATGGTAGAAGGGAAATGATTCCGAAGAATACGATCATAAGATACATTTGCATACAAGGTGCGAGACCTAAATGCACCGAGGGAAGATCTGCAAAATTGAAATTATAATCATAAAATCAGACATCAAAACAGCCCAGACTTGGTTCCATACCCACGAGTTGAAGTCTTAAGATTCAAATCCACAACTTCCCCCTCAAAAATCATCACTTTTATCAAAAGATAATAATGATGATGACGGTGGTAGTAGTAGTAGTAGTCACTGTAAAAGCTCACTTTACGTACAAAAATTTTCCATCTTCACAATCAGATGCCATCCTCAAAAGCAGTGGTGATCTGCTGGGTTTGCCATCAGTAAGAAATAGTTGTTTACCGGTCCGACCAAAAATAACTGGAGCAATTGGTGGGGCAAGTTTCTCTAGAAAAGGAAAGCCTAAGAGAAATGGAAGCTGAGGCACCACAGAGAGTAATATTAGAAACTGCAGTACACATGCAAAAAGATGATAGTAGTACAACCATTAGAAAACAGTATATGATATACCAGAAGCATGTCAATAACATCAGAACTATTGGAGACGATCATTTGAACTTAAGACATTACGAAATAAACTTGATAACCAACAACATCGAGAACTAACTTGCTTTCTCCCTTGGACCCCAAGATGTGGTGTAGCCAAGGTAATAAAACTGACTGGCTCCAGTCCAACAATCATTCCTCGTCTTGAAGGGGATGAAGTTTGTAAATTTCCGTCTGAATAATCAGTTCCATTGTTAGACTGGGTACCACTTGAATCATTTTCTGAGTAAAGAACAGCAACTGCATATCTTGCAAACAAGCCCCCAAGAGAATGAGCTAAAAACGAAATCCTTTCAGGCTTTGAGTCTTCTGTACAACTTGCAGAACCTATTAAACCGAAACAAGGTGAAGGGAGTAATCAATACTGCAGCAAACTAAAGGTCCTTCCACAAAACTCTCAAGTTTGAGACAGAATTAACAACTCACTTCATCCGCTAAGCGCTTCCCAGCTCCATCAACCCCAGCAACGGTTTTAGTACGGCTGTTAACCGAACTTGTTGCAACAAATTATTACATAAATAAGGAACAATAGATTATCGTTATACATACAATTTACATGAGATTGAAGATATGAACAAATACCATAAATCAGAAAGGTTCTCCCAAGCATCCTTTTCAACTCTGCCTCTGCATATGTCCAATCACTAGGACTGCGTTATGGAAATGTTTCAACCAATTTGATATCAAATTCAAAAACAAAAAAAAGGCATAACAAATCACATTTTAGCATCAGTTATTCACTCAATACTATTATGCATACCTAGCCAAGATGCCATGAACAAGAACAAGAAGGTGATCGGGCTCATTTTTTCCATTCCCGATGCAGTTGGATGCAATAAAGTCTCCTTGTGTAGTTGTACTCATTGCTTGGGCTCTAAGGCCTTGATGTCTCCAATTACTATTTGTTCCTTTAAAATGTTTATAAAAAAAATCAAGAATCAGCTAAACAGAAAAGGTAATATCAAGAAATAAAAAATAATAATTCAAGTTATGTAATATCAATATCAAGAATTCAAAATGACCATTAATGCAATTTTTACACTTTCATCACCAATTAACATATTTCAAGTCCCTAAGTTCCTAATTGAATATCAAAGCCTCAAAAAAATCAATGAGATTCATTTTCATTTTCTTTTAATATAATCAATCACTCACTTTAGCATAACTTTAACTATTTTTTTACTTCGACTTACAATTATAATCACAATTTCAATTACAAATAATACAACATACGAATATCTAGAACCAGAATCAACTAAAATACAATCAGAGTAATAACCGAAATAAATTTGAATCTAGATCCGAATAAATTAGAGCATAACTCAGTAATACTAAGACTTAAACTAAATCAAAATTCCACATATGTAGGAATACAATAAAATCAAGGATTCAAAAAA